ATGCCGACATACATTTATTTAGTTATTTATATCAAATGGGAGGCGCTTTGATAGTCATCATTAGCCCTTTAGTTGACTTCAGGCTTCACAGAGCGAGAGGAACATCAAATCGAAAAAAGTCGAGAGGGGGAACAGAAGAGTATTTTAAAGATGTAAAAGGGACAGACACAAAGGTAGATGAAAGGTGAGGTGAGTACTGTGACAGTTGTGGAATATGACATACTGTGGGGTCATGATAGCTTGAACCCAGAAGTCAACTGCCGGTTTATAGACTTTTTGCCGCATGAGTATACGTTGCCCAGGGTACACCACGTGGAGGCAAGTCTATCGCACACCCCATGCCGACTTACATTGGCGCAAGTCCAATAATAAAATTTAAAACCATGTTAGGTCCTTTTAAATCATGAAAAGTCAGATCTTCAAAAACACTTTTTAAGGTATTTATAAAAAGGTAAAAATTTTAAGTTATCGATTACTGCTCAGTGAGCTTCGCTTTTTAACAGTATATGATCCATTACTGTTTTTAAATTACCTCATATCACAACTTCATAAGGGAAAATTGGTGTGTGTGCCATGAAATCTTCCAAAGGTAAATTTGGTGGGAAATGCAATTGGGAGGAATTAAGAAAAATCTATAGAAAGATTAGGGATGACATCTTTCACTTTTCAATGCGCGCAGCACCAATGACTTGTAAGTCCGTGCTTCAATACTTTTACTTATTTTCTCATATATATAGTTCCAGGAGAATTGGACCGACAGATAGCTTCTAAAAACTTGACCGACTTTGGATTGGCTGATAATACAATTGTGGCACCCTATGGCATTCACCATCACTTTCTCGGAGGTTGTCTACTTGCGATACTTGAATTTCTCTTTGACCATATTTCCAAGGTTACTCATAACGAATCCTTCGTAGAATTAGTGAAAAAATATATTAAGACTCCAAGCACCTTTGTAAATCAACCTACCATACATAAAGTAGTGCTTATTGGGTGGATTGCAGTCATTCGTGATTTTCTTCCATTAGCTAGGAAAAATAAATTAATAAACACGAAAACTATTGCAGAAATGCAAATCGATAAATCAATCGTTGAGGGATATCAAATTCAAATGAATATCATGTACGATATCATCGAAAATGCGGACCCACGATTTCTACTAATTTATGATAG